CAGTGCGCAGTTAAAGCTACGTCATAAAAGTTGCCTGCTACTATGACTTAAAAGTAGAGTTGCTCCGCAGTATTACAAACGAGACTTCTGTAACAATGCAACAGAGTGCATCCCGTTGAAGCCCACAAGAGTTGCACTGCTACGGTGACTTGGAAGTGGAGTTGCTTCGCAGTACTACAACTTCACGAGACTTCTGCAACAATGCAACAGCAGAGCATCACGTGCAGACAAGCCATAAGAGCTGTGCTGCTGTAATGAAGAGAAAGTAGAGTTGCTCCGCAGCACTTCACTTCACGACGAGACTTCTGCAACATTGCAACAACAGTGCCACGGTCGAAGCATAGTTGCAGTGCCACATTGCCTTGAAAGTAGAGTTGCTCCTCAGCACCACAACTTCACAAGGAGACTTCTGCAACATGCAACAGTAGTGCGTCAGTTGTTGCAATAGTGACTTGAAGTAGGGAACGCTCCACTGTACCACAACTTTACAACAAAAATTCTGCAAAACAGTGCGTCACGTTGAAGCCCATAAGATTTGCACTGCTACGCTGACTGAAAGTAGAGTGGCTAGCAGTACCACAACTTCACAACAAGACTTCTGCGACAGCAAAGCTATGCCATAAAAACTGCCGGTACTTTTCCGTTACCCGGACCCATTTTTTCAAAGGAGCATATTGCTTCTTTTCTCGTACCATATTTGGTCCCAAGTTCACAGAAAGTAATGTCAACCTTTCGCCACGTGTCAAAAAACCTTGACATGTCATCTACATGTTTGACAGGTTTTACCAGGAGTTTGCGCGCTGCCCTGCCTAGTGACACAAGTACAGTCTGTTCTTATCCAATAATGACATTTTTGAATGAGAAAAATCAAATACGAACATTTTCATAAAAATAACGTCATCCTTTTATCAATGAACAGATTAGAAATGCCCATAATAGAGAAGTGCGCTAGGGTTCCATCATCCAAGTGACAAAACAATTAGTAGAGGGTACTTCAAGCCATCATTCCTAGTCTTTCCTGGCTAAATTCGCGTGCCGGGAAGAGTTTGAAGGAAAAGACATGCTCAAATCATTGCTGAAAGCAATCAAGACGTTTTAGTGAAAGTTTTAGATTGTTTTGCTTCCGTATGAAACAGTTAGACAGTTTTTAGTTAATCACAAATTTCTTTTATCTCACTAAAAATAATTTCGAAAAAAAAACATGTCAAAATGAACCAAAACGTGTCAATTTTTTCCTGACACGTGGCAAGGAGACAGTCCTCGTAGAATCTGTGAACAATTGTTCTTGGACCAAAAAACGTATTTTATAAGAGGCTTTCGAAAAAATGGGTCCGGTTAACGGAAAAGTACCACGTTGCCTGCTCCTGTGACTCGAGTAGAGTTGCTCCGCAGTATCAAACTTACAACGAGGCTTCTGCATCAATGCAATAGCAGTGCACTGCGTTGAAGCCACCCGTAGTTGCAC